TGTTTTAATAAAAGTGAGGAAATACAAAATTGAGTAGATCTATAACCACTGAAAAAATAAATAAATCAGTAGTTAGGTTTAACACACTTACACATACTGTGGTAGCCAGGCTCCAAAATGGCCTCCAAGGACCGGCCGAGTGGCTCAGTTGGTTAAGAGCTTGCTTAAGAGTGAGAGCTCTGAGCAACAGGGTCACAGGTTTGATGCCCGGCCCGAGCTGAGCTGCCACTGAGCTGCCAACAGGTGGCAGGATGGCTCAGCTAAAAACAAAACAAAACAAAACAAAATGGCCTCCAGTGATTCTGGCCTCCTGGTATTAACACTCTGGTATAGTGACCGCCCATGTTGGATAGGGCTGACTTAAATAAACGAGTAGGGTACTGTGAAAGTGATGGAGTGATGAAATGTGACTTTTGAGGTTAAACTGTAAAAGACATTGAGACTTCTGCCCTGATATCTCTCTCTGAATCCTAGCTCTGGGGGATGCCAGCTGCCATGTAATGAGGACACTCAAGCATCCCTATGAAGAGGTCCGTGTGGCAAGGATCTGAGGCCTCCTGCGATTAGCCAGCAAAGAACTGCCAATGACTGTGAGTGAAATATTTTGGAAGCAGATCCTCTGGCCCCGTCAAGATGACTATAGTCCCAGCCAACATTTTGATAACGCCATGAGTGACCTTGAGCCAGAACCACCCAATTAAGCTGCTCCCAAATTCCTGATCCTCAGAAACTGTGAGATAATAAATGTTATTGTTTTAAGCCACTAAGATTTGGGGTATTTGCTATGCAGCAAAAGATAATTAATATATACACACAAAACCAGGCCAAGATGGTTTTAGAAAGGAGTTCTATGATACATTCAAGGAAAAGATAATCCCATTTTTTACAAACTGTTCCAGAGAGATGATCCCCACCCATTTTATGAGGCTGTATACTTTGGATGATACAGTCAAAATCAGTCAAAGATTATTTTTTAAAAATTTATAAGAGAATCTCACTAATGAACAGATAACAAAAGTTCTAAACAAAACGTTAGCAAACTAAATCCAACAATGTATTTTCTAAATGCATGACCAGGCTCATTCTACTTCAAGAATGCAAGAATAAATTTATTTTTCAAAGTCTATAAATTTTATTTACAACTTTAACACATTAAAAAAGAAAAACTATATAAGCATCTTAATAGATGAAAATATATTGATAAAATTTAACGTCTACTCATAGTTTAAAAAATACTTAGCCAACTAGAGCTAGAAATGTCACATTTATTGATGAAACATGAGAGGCATTCCATTTGCAATCAGATGCTTTTAAGGATGCTCATTGTCACTGCTTCTATTCAGTATTGTAGTGGAAGTTTTAGCTAGTGCAGGTACGAATTTTTTAAATGAATAACTAGAAGGTATAAGGTTTTAATAGAAAGAAGCAAACTTTTAGAATTTTTATCAGATATAAGATAATTATGTAAAAATGAATTCCATTTCTATATAAATGGTAATAAACAATTAGAAAATGTAATTTTTTAAAAAAGGATAATATCTACATAGCAACAAGGATTTTAAAAGAGGGGAGCATATTTAGGAATAAATCTAACAAAACGTGCAAGATTTTTATTTAAAAAATTCTGAAACCTCATTGAAAGATTAGAAAAGACTGAAATAAATGGAAAGATGAGCCAGTTTACACACAAGTGCACTAGGTATGGTGAAGAATGTAAATCCCTCCCCACCAAAATTAGTTTACACATTCAGTCCAATTCTATCAGAATCCCAGCAGGGCTTCTCAGTGGAACTTGACATGCTGACCTTAAACCGTGCATAAAATTGCAAAAGGCCCCAAATAGATAAGACTTTTCTGAACAAGAACAAGGTAGAGTAGTGACCCCATACCAAGAATTATTAAAGCCACAATAATGAACACAGTATGATATAAGACTAGACCAACAAGCTAATGATTTAGGCTACAGAACCCAGAAACCAACCCATGAATATGGAAACTTGATACATGACAGAGGTAGCTTAGCAAGTCAGTGGGGGAGGAGGGACTGTGGGATAAATGGTCTGGGACAGCAGGACATAATGTACATTTGGAAACACTACACTTGGTTCCCTGCATCACACTGTATACAAAAATAAATTCCATGTGAAAAACAAAACTTGACAACTTTCAGAAGAAAATATAGGAGACTACTTTTATGACTTGAAAGTAGGAAGAATTTCTTAAACAAGATTATTTTAAAAGCACAAACCATAAAAGTATATTGCTACATTTGACTAGATTAAAATTAAAGCTTCTGTTCCACAAAAGACAGTATAAAGTGAAATAAGAAGCCACAAACTAAAAAAAAAAAAATAGCTGCAAAGCATATACGAGGTCGGACAATTAAGTTCGTGAACTCATTCTAGAAAAAGTGCTACATACCTAATTGCTGAATATCACTAAAGTCACCTTGAAAGTACTCCCCTTGGGAAGCTATGCACCGACGCCAGCGCCTAGTCCACCCTTCAAAGCAATTTTGGAACTCTTTTTCTGGAATGGCCATTCAAGCTGTCATCATATTACCCTTGATGTCCTGAATGTCATCAAAATGTCTTCCTTTCAATAGTTCCTTTATTGGATAAAGGATAAAGAAAGAAGTCATTGGGGGCCAGATCAGGTGAGTAGGAAGGGTGTTCCAATACAGTTATTTGTTTACTGGCTACAAACTCCCTCACAGACAGTGCTGTGTGAGCTGGTGCATTGTCGTGATACAAGAGCCATGAATTGTTGACGAAAAGTTCAGGTCGTCTACCTTTTTCACGCAGCCTTTTCAGCACTTCCAAATAGTAAACTTGTTAACTGTTTGTCCAGTTGGTATAAATTAATAATGAATAATCCCTCTGATATCAAAAAAGGTTAGCAACATCGTTGCAACAAGTTTGCAAACTTAATTGTAATTTATAGAGGATTAATGTCCAGGATATGTAAAGAATTCCTACAGATCAATAGGAAAAAGACAAAATGCCCCATTATAAATTGGTCTATGTATATGCACAGACAATTCTCAGAAGAAGAAATCTGAATTTCCATAAACAAAAAAATAAGTTTAACTCACTGGTTATCAGGGAAATCAAAGATAAAACAATAATGAGTTAGCATTTCATACCTTTCAGATTGACAGAAATTAAAATTTCTGACATTATTTAGAGTTGGAAAGGATACAGAGTGATAGGGAATAAAAAGAAAAGAAAAGAACACTGGAAATAAATGTCCATCAACAAGAAAACAGATAAATTGTGGTCTATTTATTCAATAGAGGATGGTGCAGCTATTACAATGAATGAACTAGAACCAAATGCTTCATATGGATAATTTTCAAAATTATGTTAGGCCAGAAAAAAAATACTATATGCAGAGTAGCATTATTTATATAAAATTTGAAAACAGGCATAGCATTACTTCAGCTTGTTCAGAGTTGTAGACACATGTAATAAGTATAAAAACATGCCTAGAGGTGAAAACACCAAATTTATTAAGTAGGTTACCTCTAAGAGAAGGAGAGCAATGGGAACACGGAAGACACATGTGCAGGAGCCTTCAACTTTATCTGTCAAATTTTATTGTAAAAGAAAAAGAGCGTGTACTTTTAACAACAATGTTGCTGGCTGGAGTCCCACATGAGATGGTAGGCTGTTCCTCTCCACCCCCACCCCCCCCAACTAGATTGAAAGCGACAACTGGACTTGGAGTTGAGCTTGAGCCCTCCACAACTAAGATTGAAGGACAACGACTTGACTTGGAGCTGATGGGTCCTGGAAAAACACACTGTTCCCCTCCCCAATTTTCCAATAAAAATCTTAGAAAACAACACCACCACCGTGTCAAATGATATATTGCATGCTCCTAGCAGTTTCAGGAATCTTTGCAGACACACATACTTAGACCTCCTGGTGGGTTCCTAACTCCTCTCTCAAACCTCTGTTCCACCCACTCTCCCCACAGCCCCTGCTCCTTGGCACTGGGCTCTGATGGTAGGGCTGAGCTCCTGGTGGGAAGTCCCTGTGTTCTTTTATCTTTCAGTCTATCACAGAGTAAGTCTACTCTGAAACTATGCACTGAATGGAGTCCAGCGCTCTCCCAAATAGCCCACAGGTGGGAGATACAGAAAGTGAGGGGAAAAAAACTGGACAGAGAACTGGAAGACTTCTGCTTTTCAAATGAAAGCACATAATGACAACAATCTATCCTTTTCCTCAGGAGAAGTCTCCATCACTTGGACCATGTGTATTCACTTTATTCATTCATTTCACAAACATTTACCAGACACCTACTATGTGCAGGAGCTGGTCCCTAGCCTGGGGTTGGCTGGCTCATTTGCACCCTTCCTTCCTCTGTAAACGTTTAAGGGACCGTCTCTCCACCTGGCACAGTGGGCTTAAGGGTGGGACCGTCACAATCCACACCCAGGAGCACACAGCGTGTGTGTGCGTGCGTGTGTGTGTGTGTGTGTGTGTGTGTTACAAAGCAAAGCTGACAGTCACAATTTACACATGTAAAGGCTATTCTGTGGAGGGAGAGGGAGGAGGAGGAGGGAGACAGAGAAGTGGGATTGAGGGGAGAGGGGAGAGCGAGAGGGAGAAGGGGTAAGAAGCGGAGGGAGAAGAAAAAGGAAGACACCAGCAGCCTGCCTGGATTCTCCCCAGAGCCACATCTAACAATACTCTGGTTACGTTTTAATTAATTGAAAGTTTTTCCCACTGATTCTAAAAAGGGCCCTCTCTCTGATTAATTTTCGAAAGAGCCGGCAGAGTTGAATCATAGCAAACACAATGAACCCAGTTATTGCGGCCTGAGTGGCTAAAAACAGAAAATAAAGAACCCAGAACCAACTATGGTCTTGATGCTCGCCCGCGGCCACCGCCTGCGCCCACGCGCAGCGGTCTGAGCTGTGAGGCACCAAGGCAGGGATACCTCGGGCAGTGGACACGGCCTGCCAGGAGGGCGTGGGAGAGTGAGGAGGCGGGCCCCCGGTGCCTGGGCACCCCAGGTCACTGTTCCGCAGTGCCCTGAGCGGCAGGCCAGCGTGCAGCACGGGGCTGCGGCACTGCGGGGACTCGGCTCCGCCCAGGAGGCGCGAGTGCTGCTGCAGCCACGCCAAGAACGGCCGCAGGCCACAGTCGCACCGCCAGGGATTGTGTCCCAACAGGACCTCCGCCAGCCGGGGCAGACTCCCAAACACGTCGCCGGGCAGGATCTCCAGCTGGTTGTGGTCGAGCTGGACCTCCTCCAGGCTGCGAAGGTCGCGGAAAAACGCGCGGGGCAGGGTCCGCAGCATGTTGTGGCGCAGCGACACTTGGCGGAGGCTGCGGAGGCCACGCAGCAGGCCGTCGGGCAAGGAGGCCAGGCTGTTGGAGTGCAGGGCGAGCACCTGGAGCTCGCCGAGGCCCCGGAAGGCGCCCTCCGGGAGCACGCTCAGACGCGGGCTCAGGGTCACCCCTAACGCCCGCAGGCGGCTCAGGTTGCGGAAGGCGGCGTCCGGCAGGGTGCGCAGCTGGGTGCCGTTTAGCCACAGCTCCTGCAGGCGCGCCATCTCCCCGAAGAGCACTGCCGGGAGCTCTTCCAGCGGGTTCTCGAACAGCGTCAAGAGGCTCAAATTGTGCAAGTGAAGAAAGAGTGCAGAGGGCAGGAACTCGAGCTGGTTTCTAGAAAGAGTCAAACAGCTCAGGTTGCGGAGCCTGTCGAAGGCCCCGGGAGCGATGGAACGGATGTGGTTTCTGTAGAGCTGCAGCTCTGTCAGGGCGCGCAGGCTACTGAACAGCACCGAGTCCAAAGAGACCAGCTGGTTAGAGTGGAGCAGAAGTTTCTCAAGCTTAACCTGTGCTACAAGCAATCCCTTGGGCAGGTGGGTCAAATTGTTTCCCGATAAATCCAACAACCTCAGGTTCCCCAGATGTGTGAAGAGGCTAGCAGGCAGGAAAACGAGTTGATTGTAGGTTAAAACGAGCTCCTTCAGGTTAACCAGTTTCTGAAACATGTTTTGGTCAATGCCCTTTAGTTCATTGTTGTTCAAAAATAACTGTTCCAGGAGCACCATCTTATCCAAGAGCCCTCCTGGAAGATGAGTGATCTTGTTGTGCGACAACCTCAGGGTTTTTAGTTTTATCAGGTCATTGAAGGTGCCAGGGGCGATGGCTGAAATGTGGCTCTTCGACAGTATCAGGCGTTGCAGGACGGTCATGCCACTGAAGCTGTGATTCAGCAAGGTGCCCCGGCCCATTCCGAAGAGCAGGATGTGCGTGAGGTTGGTGGGCAGGCCGAGCGCGGCGATGCGCGACACGTCGCCCCCGGAGCATTGCGCCGCGTCCCGGAATTCACATTTGCAGCCACGCGGGCAGGGAAAGGGCTGGGCACGCAGGAGCACGAGCACTGCGCACAGCAGGGTGCCCTTCAGCATGTCTGAAACCTGTGGGCAACACACAAGGGCCAATGCTCATACTCGCTCTTGGAACCCTGGGAATTTAATTTTGCAGAGGCATGATTAGCACCAGGATTATCACTGACTCTGAATGTTATGCAGATACAAAGAAGTCTCCTTCTTTTCTTAGGAGTGTAGATTTTCCAGGGTGGTAAGAACACATTCACTCTACACAACGAGGTCTCATTCTTTTGTTTTACTAATTTTTCCACTCTCAGCATTGAAATTAAATCGTTTCGAGCTATAAAAAAGCCAATACTTTTAAGATCTTTACATAGATAGAACTCATTCACTAATCATTCTCAGTTAAACTCCAGACATCACAGAGCAGCACCCATTATAAAAACAGCTCTCTGCTCTTGACTGTATAACTTACCTAGAGGTGGCTATAACCAACAGTCATGAAGGCAACAGCAGTCTGTTATAAGAGCAGCAACCACCACCGGATGCCTTTTATTATAACCATGGTATATCAGCAATACCAACTACTCTACTAAAGCAACAAACACCCTCAAATAGTGAACACCCTCAGCCACACTGAGAAAAGCAGATAATAATGCCTATGACTTCATGCCATGCATTGCTCCCAGCACTTTATTTGGATCAATTCATTTAATCCTTACCTAACCCTATGAAATATGTACTATTATTATCCCCAAAGGATGAAGAAATTAAGGCACAGAAAGGTTAAGTCACTTAAGCAGGGTCACAGAGCTAAAATTTGAAAGTAGTATATCTGAGTGAGCCGTAAATAAGGAGCTATCATTTCCAAGATTCTTGATTAAAAATACTTGTCATATTGAATTATCTGTGAAATACAAAAATACTCATCTGCCAAAACAATGTTTCCCAAATGTAATTTTACATAAATCAATTCTTGTACTAGATTTTATTTCTTATGCACATGCACTAACTGAGCCCTCCAGTTGCCCATACTCATTTTTAAAACATTTGGCCTTACCTGAAATGGTGCTGCACCCCAAAGCCACTGACTGAAAGGCTTAATTAGAGCTTGGCTTGTGATTCTGCACTTTCCAAAGGAAGAGGGAGGTATCCTTGCATCCTGAGGATAAAGACCAGAATAGTCACAGAAAGGACCTATCTCAGAGGGCATATTCTGGGTTTTAATGACAAATATTGTCAAACGGAGAGGCCACATACAACCTAAATCCTTGTCAAAGCTGAATGGGGAGAGAAGTTTCTCCATAAATGGCACAATATAGCTCGGGTGCTGGAAAAGCTTAGTGACATAGTTGGATCATGGCAGCAGCCACACCCCTAGAGAGGCCACACTTCCTTTGGGTCTTCCCTTCGTGCCACATTGCCCCAATTCCCTACTCCAGTTCCCCCTTTCCCCTTCGATGAATAATAAAGCTAAAAATATTCTCAAATATGTTCCATTATGGCATTACTGGATTGAAGAGTGTTTACATGTTCAATTTAGGAATGTCAAACTGCTTTCCAAAGCAGCTGTACCAATATATAATGTCATTTTTGGAGTATGACAGTTCCTGTGCTTCATAGCTCTGCCCACACTTGGAATTGATTTTTAAATTTTTGCCATTCATATAAAATAACTGTCACAGTGTGGCTTTAATCTTTTCTCTAATAATGAACGTAAGCATCCTTTTATATTTGAAGTGCCACTTGTGCTTCATCTCCTGAGAAATGAGTGTGGATACTAATCCTTTGTTGGTTATAGGTATTACAAATATCTTCAACTACATAGTTTGATCTGCTTTTTCACCTTCTTTATGAGGTCTTTTGACAGTCTTAATATAGGCAAAATTAATTTTTATTTTACAATTTGTTTTTGTCTTTTAAACCTTTCCTCCCATTAGAAAAATATTCCCCTATAATGCCTTATTTTTATAGTTTTGTCCTTGCTTTTAGATCTTTAATCCATCTAGAGTTGATTTTTGTGTATGATGTGAGTTGAGTCCAATTTTATTTTCTCACACACACACACACACACACACACACACACACACACACACACACACGTAAACCCCTTCTTCTCTCAGAGCTACCATGTCAGCACTGCCATGAACCAACATCTCCTGAGTGCATGGGTCCGTTTCTGGGTTCTCTATTTTAGAATTCCTGCACCAATACCACAATGAAATAACTTTTTTTTTTTAATTGGGGAATTGCGGGGATGGGAACAGTGCTGGGGAATTGGGGGAAGGGGAACAGACAAGTTGCTGTCGTTTTGTTCTTCAGTCTAGTTGTGGAGGACG